AACAAAGAAAATTTATTTGAAATTAATATTTATTTTTGAGATAAATGTATTTTTTTCGGTTTGGGGGGATTCGTTAGCTATTATACAATAGCTTTAAAAAAAATTATTCATGATCTAGTATGAGAACATTTGTTGTTGCAACTCCTCTTGTGTTTCTCTTCTATGTTGGTAATTTTTGTTGTCTCGTTTAATCTAAACCAACTGATTTTTTTTTATTGCTTCAGTTTTGTTTTTGTGTAGATTTTCCAATGAAATTGCAAACAATCTTTAAAATCCACAACATAAAATTTTTCTCTCAAAATTCATTTTCATATAAACAGAATACAGAAACTTTATGTTTTAGAAATTCTGAAACTGATATCGACACTGGGAAATAATTATGAAGGAGAAACATTAAATATTTCAAGCCTGAAGCACTGACTGTTTATATATATATATATTATAATCGTATCCCTTTGAATGCGCGCAACATATTGGTTTTGACTTATCATTCAATATTCACCGTAAATTATACGAATATTGCAATTGGTCAATGACAATTGTCAATACACGCAGTGAGAATAGAATCCTACGTCACGTGATTAAATTTACATTCTTTATTTTTTCCCACATTTTTTTAATCATCAATTGGAACTAAAAGCTTTTTTTTATAATTATTATTATTGTCTCCATCAGAGAAAGCATTAAAAAAATCGTGATTTATTTTTTACTTAAAAACTTCTCCAACAATGCGAATCGATAGAATATAAAGATATAAAAGAATAATAAGAAATATATTATTGGATAGTGTATTTATAGCGTTTCTATATGTATAAAAGAAATCAAAATAAAAAAAATTTAAACATAACCTAAAAATTTTTTTTTTAATTACTTCTTTGTTTTTTTTTCACGATGCAATTGTTTAAGTTTTCTTTTTAATCAAATAATTTACTATTGCAATAACAATAATTATTAAACTCGCAAAATTTTCAACGCACAATTAACTTTGATTGAGCAAATAATAGTTTCACATTAGGCTTAGAGTTAACTCACAATGACTTCGCGAAAAATATTGTGCGTTGGCTTTTTAGGCCTGAAATTAATTTTGACGAAGAATATTTAAAGTTAATAGAAGGGCACACTCATAAATGAAAATGGGTGCATAGATGGCGCTGCAGTCGTTCATTGAAATTATTGCCGCGAAAATTTGAATCCAACATTTTTACAATATTAACAGAAAATATGAAAATTAATTAATTCATATTTTTAATTAATAATAATAATAAAAATAATAATAATAAAAATAATAATAATAAATATAATATTGTCAGTAAAAAAAAAAATAATATAAAAAGAAATAAAAAAAAGTAATAGAAAATTTGAGGAGCTTTTACTACCTAGTTTGGTTTATTCGTGGGATATTTGAGTTTTGGCAAAATTCAGAGAGATATCGTGGTCACATTATGGACCCTTGGGATTTTCTTTGAAAGCATATTTTTTCGATATTAATAAATTCCCCTTTGTTTCTGTTAGAAGTGAGATAAAATATTCACATACTTTTCTCCTCCTTGGAGAAATGATCTAAGTGACTGTGTTTCAAATAATGGCACAATAAATAATTTACTAATCTTGTATCTAAACAAAAGAAATCAAATAAAATGATAAAAGTTAAATCTATTTTTTATAACAAAAAAAAATGAAATCAATTTAATAACGATTAAATATTTTATAAAAAAATTTCTGTTTTGCATGCAAAAAAATTTTAAAAATAAATTCATGATAAAATATAAAAATGTAAAAAATGTTTTTATTGAAAAAATATTGGAAAAATTTAATAGAATTAAAATAGTGAAGAAAACATGAAACGCAACTTTTGTTTAATAATAATTTATAGACTCTCTGCTCTAAAACTTACTTCTTAAAAAGTACTACAAAGAGATGTGACTTTGGTGAAATAAAAAGTTATTACGACATGAGAAATATATATATACATTGTAATAATAAGAAACTTTAATTTACTGTTTTATTTTTTTTTCCGTCTCAAAAAAAGGTGAATTTTCATGATTCATCTTTTCTTTGATGTTTCTTTGAGATAAAACTTCTGAGAATTCCTGGATATGAGAATTTTAATTGACAAACTTTTTTAAAAGATATTCGTTAAATTTTACAAGACTTCAAAGAATTATGGCAAAAGGTTTTATTGGCAATTTTTTAATGAAAAATATTCATTATAAAAAAAAGCATTGCAACTGTTTTTTTTAATTAACTGAAAAAAATTGATATCAATAAAAAAAAAGGAGAACCAAAACAGAAAAACAAGGGAAAAATTTCAAAGCTAAATGAAAACTGATAAAAGAAACAAATAAAGAAAATTAAAAAAATTTTTAAACAATAAAAAATAATACAAAAATTAATGTAAATGAATTAAATAAAAAATTAATGAAAAATTTTCTTTTTATGGAAATTAATTATTCATTCATTAATACGTTAAATAATTATTATAATTTTTTATAAATTTATACGAGAACTAATTAAAATTTACATTTCAATAATAATTAAAAGTAAAATCGTTTGTTATGTAAAAAAAATTTTAACAACCAAACGTAATAAAAAAAAATATCAAACGATATAGATTTCTAATTGATATTTCCCAATTAATTTTTTTTTTCATTCACTGATCATTAATTTAGAAAAGAGTTATTTAAAAAGAAAAAAAGAAAAAAAAGTTTCATCAAACTTTATTTGCAATGTTCTCATTTTTTTTTTTTTTATTTTTTTCATTTTTTTTTCATCCTTCGTCCTAGAGAAATACTCTCATTATCCACTCAATTTGAGCCTTTCTGCCATAGTGAATTTACCGTGATGGCCTCAGTAGTAATATTTCTCATTCCCTTTGTTCTTTCCCGAGTTGAAATCTTCAGTCGGCCATGAATTTCACTGCACAGCATTGAGAGATTAAAAAATATTTTTCCAACTCGTAAAATCCAACGATTCCAGGTCGCTCTTTTCATCACCGAATTACTTTTGACGTTCGAGTAACAAATCAGTCTTGATAAAGAAAGTAGCAAATTCATTAATTAGCTAATCGATTGATTCCAATTTTTTTTATTCCAATGTATATATATATATATATATATATATATATATATATATATATATATTTTTTTTTTAATAAATTAATTAATAAATAAATTTATTATTATTATTTATTTAAATAATATTTATTATTAATAGATATACCTATAGAATAAAGAATATTTCAGTTTGTAATTTAGGTATAGATTTCAACAAAGTTACAGTGTCATTAAAAATGCAGGTGGCTAAAGGTCGATAGTTGAATGAAGCTCAATTTATAAAAACACTAAAAAAGCAATGAATGAATTTTGCACCTAACAAAGAAAATTTAAACTAAATCTTTAAAATAATGTCCAAAAAAAAATTTATAAAAAGAAAATTTTTTTCAATTTAATTTCTAAATACTGTCAACGTCATCTTTATAATAATAATAATAATAATAATAATAATAATAATAATAATAATATATCATCAAATCAGATAAAAAAAAGTAGAAAGTTTTCATATTTAAGAGGGAGTTCATCGATACTTGTCTAATACACCACATCTTTAATGCACCAGAATAGTTAAACTTTTCCTAATAAAATCAATCAATCTTATTCTTCATATTAAGAATTTTATTTATTAACTGTCGCTACGCAGATTGATACTGCGTTACTTCCAATATTCCATTAATTTCCGGTTCAATTTATTACTTATACCAAAATGTCAAATTCATGCCTTTAAAAAAAATATCTCTAAAAATTGCTACTTCACAAAACAATATTTTAGTACGTAAAAAAATCTAAAACTATTTCATAAGAAATAAAATTCAAATTTATTTCTGATAAACAATCTTAATGTAAAACAGACTTCTCCCTTGTAGTGACCCCGTTCTAAAAAATACGCCCCCAAATTAAAGCAGTTTTTCCTTTTTAGTAGGCGTGGTATCATAGAAACACGCCCCTTAAATTGAATAGCCTCCTTTTAATGGGCGTGGTTTCTAAAAACCGCACCCCTAAATTACAATAGATTTTTATTACCGAATGCAACCACACCTCTAAATTTAAATAAACCACGCCCATTGGTAGGAGGAGAGTAGGGTGTGGTTCTTATAAACCACGCCCTAAATAGACTCCTCCAACAAATAGGCGTGGTTTCTACAAATCACGCCCTAAATATACTCCTCCTACTAGTAGGCGTGGTTTGTGGAAATCACCCTAAATAGACTCCTCCTACTAATAGGCGTGGTTTCTACAAACCACTCCCTAAATAGACTCTTCCTCTTAATGGATGTAGTCTAACAAAAACAACTAATTTTTTTAATTTAGGGATGTGGTTTAAAACAACCACGCCCCAAATTTAAAGTAACTAACTTTCAGAGTGAGTATTTTCCAAAATACGTCGCTCTATAATAAATTAGGGACTCCTCTTCTTAGAGGATGTGATTATTAAAAACCACGCCCCTGAATTATAACAAAAACTGCTCCCTTTTGTAGGCGTGCTTATTTGAAACAACACCTCAATATATCTTACTAAACCACGCCTACAAACTCCTACCGCAGTGGGCGTGGTACTAGGAGACACGCCCTGAGAAGCCACGAGCATGGGGTCAGTAAGTGTGCGTACCTATTGCCACGCGTTTGTGGGTGGTACTTAAAGGGCGTGGTCAAATTCCACGCCTATGTGGGTAATATAAAGAGGGAGTGACTAACTACCACATTCTTGTGGGCGTATCTTTTTATGAATTAAGAAAAATCGTAACAATTTTTTTTAAAAAATAGTGGGAATATATATTTTCTACAGATGTAAATATCCTTGTACTTTGTAGTGTTTTTTTTCTTTTTTGTGTCACTTTGTTGTTGAGAAGGACTATTTTTTTCATGACTTGACGTCATTTTTTTTAAAGAGAAAATTGTGTATGTAACAGTAGAGTGATAAAATTTAACGATAATTGAAAAATCTACTTACACAGAAAAGTGGTACAGGAAGCACTTCCAGCCAGTGGGACGTTCCAAAAAGTTGTAAACTTGGCCCTGAAATGTTGCTTTTCCGGCGCGTCGATGTTCTTTTAAGCGATATCGACCTTCCCACGTGTTACGATCGCCACTGACACCACCGAGTATAAGACGCGGATCAACACCTAAGACAAAAATAAAATTAAGATTTTCAAATAATTTTGAATTAATTTATGTTTTTTAATTTTAATAATTTCTCTCTCTTTTTTATAATTTTAATTAGATAAATAAATTTAAAGCATTAAATTTTTAATTATTTTTTTATTTACGATATCGGAAGTTTCCAGAAAAATTTTTTTTAATTTATTTTTTATAATGCATATTTTTGCAATCTTTTTTTTTTTTTACTTATTGTTAGCAAAAGAAAAGATAGAGAATAGATGGTGAGTGTATATTATATATAAAGAGCTCTTTATATATATATATATATATATATATATATATTGTAACAGAATACAATGTTGGCGATCGTTATAAGCACGAGCTTTGTGGTAGCATTACATATAAATTGTATCCTCTCTTGTATTACATAAGTTCACATCAAACACTTTACCGACTGTTGAAACTTTTGGTGATTCGTAAACCTTTATTCCAATAGATGAAGCCCCATTGTAAGAAATTTCTTTTTTTCAATGCTCCACGTGCCTCGACATTTTTTTCATCTATTCTGATTATTACAAAAAAAAAATATAAATATATTTCTCAACCAGCTTCTCATTATTAATATCATATATTTTTTCATCATTTTTCTTTATAGAAAAAACCAAATTAAATATTAAATAAACTTTCTTTCTTTTGTTTATTATTTTAAAAATATTTTTAAATTATGATAAATAATTAATATAAAATTAAAATAAATAAATTAGAAAGTTAAATTAAATATTAATACAGAATTGCAAATACGCAAACGCTTGAGACAATTCTATTGATTCAACGATTGTTTCAATGAACTTGTTTTCATCCATTGATGCACAACAAAACGAAACTTCTCTCTATAATTTCCGGATCGTTTTTAACTAATATAACAAATTCTCACCTCTTGAAAATAATTATAAAAGTACTAAATTAATTAATAAATTATTATTATTAATAATAATAAAATAATTATTAATAAAAAATTTATGTTAATCAAAAACAGTGTATTATTTTTATCATTGGAAATAATAAACTAAAAAAAAATTTTAAAAATGTTAAAAAAAATTTACACTAACAAAAAAAAGGAAAATCATTTCCACCGTACCTCTTTTACTGGCAGCATTTCGTGATCTAATGCTTGATCTATGATAATAATTTGGCACTTTTAATGTATCCACGTCATCATATGTTTCACCATTATCACAATCGATGACAAAAATTTCGGGATGTGTCCGATAATGTCGATTAAGACCGTGACGTGGATATTCATCTACACATTCTGATACATCGTTCCCTATAAACTCGCCTTCCATAATTTTCACAATTTTTCCATAACATTTTGCCGTCCAATCACACACCACCAACAACATTCATGTATCATCTATTAATAAATGACACTTCATTTTTTCTCAACTAAATTTCTCCCACTTTTATAATAATAAACATAATAATAATAATACACTTTCAATATTTTATCATTAAATAAATTCATTATTAAAAATTAAACAAACAAAAAAATTTTAACACCTCAAAAACATTTTCACTTTATTTGGTTATGTTTGAATTTTTTTTCATTGCCAATTGATACAGTAAAAAGGAAAAATAAGTTTGACAAATTTTTCTTTTTAAATTTTGAACAAAAGACAAGTTTAGTTTCTTATTGTAAAAAAAAAATGTCAGCGCAGTCGAAAGAAAGATTTGCACTGACCTCTTTGGAGACCGCGTTACTGCATCAATCCAATTACAAAGGAGAACTAATGTGAGTTAAGGTCGGTAAGTTGGTGGTAATCGTCACGGACTTATGTTCGTCTTCACAAAAAAATATATCTTACGTAACAATTAATAATTTGCTATTTGATATTTTCACATTATTTATCCACTAATATCAGAGAAAAATTCAAATATTTTCTTCTACCATTAGTAATATGAAGAAAAAAAATAAATATCTATATTATTATAAATTGTGTTAAATTTTTTTTAATGATATATTTGAATTTAAGAGAAAATTTAAAATGGGCGTTACTTTTTAAGACACGCCTTTAATTTTAAGTAGGCGTTTTTTTTCAGGACACGCCTCTAATGAGGCGTTGCTTTTTAGGGCGCGCTTTTAAGTTGGCGTTTATTAATAATTGAAACAAAAAGGGGCGTGTCTTTAAAGTGGGTGTTACCCATAGAGATATGTCCACTAAGTAGGCTTTTAATATCCATTAAGATAAAAGAGGGCGTGGCATTAAAGAGGGTATAAGATTTTGAGACACGCCTATAAGTGGGCGTTTATTATCAATTAAAATAAAATGGGCGTGACTTTGAAGTAGGCGTTACGTATTTAATTTTTTTATAAAATGGGCGTATAATATTTGAGATACACCTCCAAGTGGGCGTTTACTGTCAATTAAAATAAAATGGGCGTGACTTTGAAGTAGGCGTGATCTATTTTTTATAAAATGGGCGTGTAATATTTAAGACACGCCTCAAAATGGGCGTTTATTATAAATTAAAATAAAAAGGGGCGTGATATTGAAGTGGGCGTTACCTATTTTATAAAATGGGCGTTTAATATTTAAGACACGCCTCTAAGTAGGCGTTTATTATCAATTAAAATAAAAAAAGGGGCATGATTTTGAAGTGGGCGTTATCTTTCGTCACACTCCTCTAAGTGGGATTTTACGGTCAATTAAAACCAAAAATACTTAACTATTAACATGTTTTTTTGTAATTTTTTTATCAATAAAGTTTTGTTTTTTTAAATAACTAATTTTACACCATACTTGTTGAATAATTCTTGTTGGAAAAATAGTTTAATACAAAATAATAATGAGATTATTATTAAATTATATTCACGTGAACTTTTCACTAAAGCAGAAACTATTCTCTACGACAAATATTGTTTCAGGCAAACAACTATGTCGATGTGAATATTCTTATCGAAACGAGTTTCATACTATACATGAGTCTGAGCCTCTATGATTGTGTACTTAAAACGTCTATATGTATATATATATAGGGATTGTGTACATTCTTTTAATTACAACTGTGATTAAAAGAATTTTTTCAAACGTTACATAAAATTTCAACAGTATACTTATAAATTAAAATTAATTTCTCATTTTACATTGGAAATTAAAAGTTTGCACTTAATTTTAAACTAAAATTGTTTTTATTGACCCAACATTTTTTCATCCCTTCTATTATATGAAAATAAATTTTATTTCAATTTGATTTGATAAATATGTGAATATAAATAAAAATATACAAATAAATACAGAGCAGAAAAACAATGTAAAAGAATCTGGTTTTTTTTTGTTAGTCATACGAAAAGGAAAGTCCCTTGAAAATATAAACGCAACAAGATGCTGCTGAAATAAATGCGAGGTGAAAAGAGATAAAAACTAGGTGGAAGCTTTCAGAGCCGAAGAGAATACCCGTATTTAGAACCTTTGTTCTTACGTCTTTTGTGGTTTTGTAGAATCCGGGAATTTATTTGACGCAAAATAACCTCAAAACCAAAATAATATAAGTAAAATAAAAAATTACACATCAATATTGTCTGATAAATTATTGAAATACAAAATACAATATTTTTTTATTTTACATTTAAACCTTGTTAATAATTTTAAACAATAGCTCCAAGTGTTCGGTGATATTAATTTTTTATGAGATTATGATTTATTAAATTTAACTTTCTGTTCTCATCTTTTTAAAAACAGTAGAACGTTTGATACATCGACAAATGGGCGTAACTTTTAATGACACACCCACAATGGTACTATTTTCAATCCAACCCTAAGAAGGTGGAACTTTTTTTCCACGAAACGCCTTAAAATGGGCGGTATTTATTTTTGACACGCCCACAGTTTTCCAGTAGGCGTAACATTTAATGACACACCCACAATGAATGATACTGTCCGTAACCCAACCCTCAGAGGGCGGTATTTTTTCACGAAACGCCTCAAATGGGCGGAGCTTATTTTTGACATACCCCAAGTATGCCATTATAAGCCACGCCTCTAAAAAGGCGTGTCATTATAAGTCACGCCTCTAAAACGTGTTTCTTTTAAATTCACTATTCTAATTCTAATTTGAAAAAAACAAATTTTTTTTGTAAAAACTAATTTTGTTGAGAAAAAACAAGATAAAAGAACATCTTACCAGTAAATGTGTCATTGTTGTCTGACTGTAAAGTTGCACTGGTGTCGGAAATAGGTGAAACAGCAGGTTTTAAATCAGACGGTGGTTCCAAACTCAATAAATCGTTGCTGCCACCTCCGCCACTACCATTCTCTCCTCCCACATGAACTATTGTTACGTTCAGACCCCTGTTACCTAAGTGACAAATGAACACATAGTGAATACCATAAGCGTGAATTAAATACTAGATAACTTAATTATTAAAGACAATGAACTCGAAAATAGTTTCATGCTTGATGAATAATTCCATTAAATTCTGATCATAATTTAGTGCAAACTTTCCACATAGTTCTATTGTATGTGTTTCGCATTCATTGGAATATGAAAATAATTTCTTCAAATATTAACATAATTAAAAAATTTTTAATATAATTTTTAAAAAAAACTTTAAAAATTTTTTTTTCTGTAATACAATTTTTTTTTTTGGAGTGGATATATAAAAAATTGTCACTTGTTTTAATTGTTTTGTAAATTAATTTAAAGTTTCTCGCTTTAATGAGAATTTTATCAACAATCTGTGAATTCTCTTTTTGACTTCGAGTTTCAGACAATGTTGACTAGCCACCGTCTCACTAATTAATTAATTCTTGATTAAAGTGGTAATCCAAAATTTCTCCAGGGTGTCGTTAGATAAAATGTCGCTCATCAATTTACAATATTTATTGTTCAGTTTATATTTCAATAAAGTTGAATATCATTTCCATTGTTTAATATATTATCATATAGAGAAATACAATATCAAATGAAATTAAAGGTCAAAGGTAACGATTATTGTGTATATATGTATGCTCTCTAGAAATAATTGACAGTATAAATAAAATATTCAAACTTTTTTTTTCTCCAGCAACGATATATTTTAATATTCAACATCTATTTACAATTTTAAGTTTCTTTCTCTCTCTCTATCTATCTATCTCTCTCTCTCTTGAAAATCTTCATTGATATTTTATTTTTATTCATCAGAAAAAAATTGAAATTTCAAAAATTTAAATTATAAAAACAACTACAATATTAAATTAAAAATAATACCAAAATTAATATTAGATTTAAAATTTGAACTGAATTAAATAATTCTTAAGCTATGCTATTTTAATTTTCTTTTTTTCCTCTCAGCAATAGATCTTCCAAATAAATATTTCAAGAAGAAAAAGCAAATTAATTTACTTGAACTCTGACTGTTTCTAATAAAATGTCAAGATCAAATTATCACCAAAAGTGTGTTTCTATTTATTTAGATTTTTTTAAAATAATTTTATTTTAAGTTTTACTAAAAAAAAATGGTACACCTACATTTGAATTTAAAAAAAAAATTGAATAAATATAAAATAAAAACATTTGATCTTTTATATGGGTCCTTTGAGAAATTAGAGGATTCCCTATCATGCTACATCTCCACTATACATTTTCCTGTTAGGAGATGGGAACACTATTGATTTAACAGAGCTGAATAACCACGATACTAGAGTATTAAAATTCAACCATATTTTTCTCTCCAAATAGATGACATAATCCGGTTTTACTTTTATAAAAATTATCCTCCTATCTTTAAAAACACCTATAATGCAAAAAAAAAGAGAGAGAAAAAATCTAATCTCTCCATAATAATTTATCACGCAACATTAGTTCTTTTAAATATTGACGTTAAAAGCATCTCTTTTTATTTAATAGGCAAAATTTTTCTTATCATAGTTTTTTTTTAATAAAAGATTAACTGAGATATTTATGATTGATGACATTGGGCACTTTATTAATTTTAATATTATTAATAATTTTTTACCAATATAAATCACATTTATCATTTTATAATTAAAAAAAAAAGTTTCTATTATAATCATAGCTATTATACTCATTCCCAAAATTTATACAAATAACTATCTTGATAATTATAAAATGAAAATTTGTATAAATCAAAAAACACATTTGATAATTAAAATAATATATTGTTGAATTTAGTTAATTTTGGTGATTTAATGCTATGCGCAATACTATCTTGGGATTAACAGTTGTGATAGATATCAACACAATGGAGTGGAGAAACGACAATCTATTGCACATCCGTAGTGTACTAATCACTCTTCTGTTTCTCTGTATAAAATTAATTAGCATTAAAACTAGTTTTGCAAACTTCAATTTAAATTTATTGTCAAAAATAATAAAATTCCTAGTATTCAAATGCTGTGTGAAAAATAAAACTTTTCTTCTAATTAAACATTTTTTTATCACATTCTTATTTAAAAAACTACTTTTAACGTTAAATTTTTGTATCCTTTCAATTTGTTCAAAATTAGATGAAAATTTTAATAAGGGACGTTACTAAGTTAGACTCCACCTTTTAATGAATAGGCCACATCTCCTAATGGGCGTGGCTTTACAAAACAACGCCCTAAAATAGGCCACGCCTTTTAATGGGTGTGGCTTTAAAATACACTGTCTAAAAATAGTCGACACCCTTCAATGGGCGTGGTTTTATAACACAACATCTTAAGATAGGCCACGCCTCTTTGTGGGCGTAACCTTTAAGTTAATGTTACTAAACCACTCCCAAAGTAGGCCTCACCTTTTAATGGACGTGACACTAAAATACAATATCTAAAAACGATCATACCTCTCAATGGGCGTGGTTTTACAAAACAATGACCTAGGATAGGTCACGCCTCTTAGTGGGCGTCACCCTTAAGTTATATTGTTACTAAACCATACCCAAAGTACGCAACACCTTTTAATAGGCGTGACCATACAAGATAACGTCTTAAATAGGCCACACCTCTTAATAGGCGTGACCTTGAAAGACAATGTCTTAAATAGGTTACACCCCTTAATGGGCGTGGTTTTTACAAGATACTGTGTTGGACAGGACATTCCCCTTAATGGGCGTGTCTCTAGAAAACACATTGAACAGATCACACCCCTTAGTGGGCGTGGTTATACAAAAACAACATCCTAAATAGGCCACACTTTTTAAATGTATATAAAATCACGCCCTAAATAGACCACACCTCTTAGTGGGCGTAACATTTATTAAACCACGCCCTCTTTTTATAGAGAAAAGAGTAATTTTCTAAAAAAAAGACGTTAAAAATAGATTAATTAAATTTGTTTACCTGCCCTGGAAGTTTGTGGAAGCAATCCCTGGATCTCTTCGAGGGGCATCGCTTGTCCAAGATGATCCCGATGACGAGAATGATCTCTCATGCCTCCTCAATAAATTTGGTTGATTTCGGGCTACGCGTTTCCGCGGCCAGGGACGTATTAGGCGCGGTTGCAGGATAGGGTCAGGGAATTGGGCCAGGATAGGGATAAGGATATCGGGTGAGTCCTGAGGGACTCGTGGCAATGGCGGCGGACGGTGATGGTACGTCATCGCCCGGCCGTCACACCTACGACCATGCCCCAGGCAACAAGAGATTGAAAAAAACTTCCTCGTCACTTTATCGTTAATTGTCCGTCGCTCGACGTTTTTTTTTTCTGTAAAGAATAAAAATAAAATTTATTTTTAAATTAATTTTTTAAAACTTATTGTTGTTAATATTTTGTAAATTATTATCATAGAAATAATTTTTTATATATATATGTTTCTTTTCTAGGTCATGAGTAACGAGTTTCTCATGCTAGGAACATAAATTAAAAAGCAACTTGAGTCGCATCGCTCTATGCAAATTGCTCTGTTGTGATAAATAAATTATCCTAATTAAAAGCACAAGTCTTTTTGGTTAATTTTATCATGATGATGAGACCTAGTTCTTTTTTTTTTTTTTGCTATTTGCTTTGAAAAATATAGTTTTATTGATTAAAAATTTTTTGAGGGTAATTATTAATAATTCAAAAAAAAAAAAAATGTTTAGATTAGAAAAAAAAATATTTTTTTTTCATTCTGCAATTAAGAATATAATTACCATAAAAAGTGTTATTTCTTTTATTCAAGAGCAAAAAAAAAAATATATATATTTCTCGTCACGTTGCTGTTTGCATTTTTGCAGTTTTATTAGTTTGTTCGTTAAATGCATTTTATAGCCGCACTGCTGCTGGAGATTTCAAGTCATCAACTAGGTTTTTAGTGAAAAGAAAACTTTCAATTACCCCCTCTGAGAATGTTTTTTTTCCAAAGTGCACATTATTTCTTGACTTAAATTTTTTCTTTTTATATATAAATATTATGAAACTATTTTTAGATCTTCGTATATGGATACGTTAAATAATTTATAGTGTATACTTTTATATTTAAAGTGCTTTTCTTAACATAAAATTATTTTTATTAATACTGCTTTAGATATATATAATTTATGAACCATCAATTGTTTTTAATTAAAAAAAAAATTTAGAAATAAAATTTCGATTTTTAATTTAAAAAAAATAGAAATAGTTTCTGAGATAAAATTTTAAAAAATTTGCAGGGGGGAAATATTGAAGAAATAAAAACGTTTCAGCAAAAAAAAAAAAAAAAAAAAAAAAAAAAACTGGTGAACTTTCAAACTGGAACAAAGTTGGATTACATTAATTCTCGATTCAATATATAAGTAGACAATACTTTGGTGCTTCGTCCATAGCAGTTTTGCGGTGCGAATAATAAAAATCGATATGCAGCATGTCTGGGCTAGTGGGTCTAGTTTAGTGAAATTGTACTTATTATAATATAACATGCGATCCATAGTCCTTGGCACCGGTTAGCTGCCAGATAATATCACTTTGTGTCATCATTTAGCAGATTTTCGATAAATTTATTATCCATTACATTTATCAACAAGTCATTACAATTTTCATTTTCGATTTAATGACTCTCTATTTCCTGACTTGCAGTTTTGTTCACATTTACACAAATTGCAATTAATTGTTATCATTTTAATAATAATAATTATTATTATTGTCATTATTTTCTGATAATAAAAGTTAATTTATAAATTAATTTTTACTGAAATGAAAAAATATTTAAAAAAAAAAAAAGGTTTTTTCTTAAGGTAAGGCACACACTTAGAAAAGTCAAAGTAATGTTTAAGTTTTCTATATAGATTTGAAAACTAGGTGTGGTAAAGTTTTTTTTTTTCTAACTCTCCGCAAGTAAAGCTTGACGTGAAACAAATTGACAAATTCAGTGATGGCATGTACTTTTTTTTCCTTTTATTACACACCTCCATTACAAGAATACACGCGAGCATTATTGCCAACTCTATGCCAATCAAGAGATCAAAATCCATATCGAGTGTGAAAAGGTTCATTTTATTGCAAGGCCTGACATGACATTCGCATTATCATTGTCGTGAATCGTTCGTGATAAAATATAGTCGACATGGAAAATTTCTTTTTAGGTATTACTGTTATTATTATTACCATTTTTATTATTATTATTATTATTCTTTATAATTATTTTTTATTTTTATTATTATTCTATATTATTTTTTTATTTTTATCGTTATAATTATTACTACCATTTAATTATTTTGCAAATATAAAACATTTTATTATTTGATTAATTGTTGAAAATATAATGTGATGAAGATAATAATAATAATAATAATAATTTATTAGAGAAACATATGTGAAAGTAATTTAGTACTTCTTTATTTAATTGATAAAATGTTGAAATTTTGCAATGACATTGATAATGAAAATTAGAAATAATAAGTCAATAAAAAAAAAATAAGTACATTTTTTTTGTATTGACTTATTTGACCTTCTGCGCATATCAATGTTTGATTGTCGTCTATAATTTTGTTTGTACTAGTTCCCTTCTTCAAAACCATAAATTACAATATAAACTCTAATTTATTTAAATCGGGTAATTTAATTTTTTCTTTTAGATTCTAAAGCTTTTTGGTTGACCTAGTATTTTATTTGAAATAAGTTTAGTTCACCTACTAAACACTGATTGGGTATTTTTTTTAGGTATTTGTACCAGGTTGGTTAAGTAAATTCATAAAGGACCAAAGGCAGAAAAAGAAGAATGGAAAAATTGGTTTACAAAAAGATAGGAAATTTTAGTTGTATTAGGTGCTTTAACTACAAAGAATAGCCAATCATAAGTTCGCAGACTGTAAGAAGCACCCAAACTTTGTTAAAAATTTTAATTAATTATTTCAATAACATTAAATTGGTGGCTTTTGATATGTATCGGATCTCGTATTACATAATTTAACAAAAGTAATAAAAACTCAAGTTCCTCGATAACAATATATTAATACAATAATAACATTAATAATAATAATAATAACAACAATTTTCAGCAAAAAGCTTTTAGGTGATTTACCTCATTATTTATTATCCAAAGCCTTTATGAGTGCTCTGTATAATGATGTCTATTTAATAAATCTACGGTTCGTTGGTTCCTAGATAAGCCAGAGGGAAAATATATATTTTGGACACAACACGGAAATATCAAAGTAGAAATTTCGATAAAAAGAATAAATAAAATTTTTTCTGTTTTAAACTTTCAATTTAAAAAAGTTTTTAAAAAAATTTATTACAATTCTCATAAAATTAAAAGAAATTACTATATATCGTTCTTAATTTTATGTCTTGTGAAATGCATTTGCCTCGGAGCGTAAAAAAAAAATGAAAAAGAAGATCAAGATGTCACGCGAAGATATCGATTAATAAAAAGAAATTTTCTATTAACGTTTTCAAGGTGTCGTGACCGCGCCTATGTATTAGTTTCAAATAGCTTTATAAAAACCAACTCTCGTTATAATGTCAAACGTTTTTTTTATTTCATCTTTGTTTGAAAAGTTACCAAATAATAAATTAAGAGGGGAAAAAAAATATATTTTCTTTATTTAATAAACCTCTTTTCAAGAGAAATAATTTTAATTCTTAAATTTTGTTTTTTAAATAATTTTTTTTCATCAAAATTGAAAAAGAAATTTTTTTTATCTAAAGTAAAACTATACAAAGTATTAAAAAATTAAATGACATTTTACAGCTGTTTGTAAAACGGTAAAACAAATCAATTTTCAATATCTGTAAAAATAAAGTTATCTCTAATTGAAATCGATTTCACTCTTTGTCCCACCGTAGCCGCATTGAATTTACTAGCTCCGATTGTTAGATTTTTTTTTTCAAACTGATTTACATTTTAGATTTTCAATTGTTTCATTTCGTTATTTTGTTAGTTTAAAAATAGTCGTAGATTTGTTACTTTTTTTCAAATAAAAAATTAGTAAAAATTCTTTGATTTCTTACTTTTTGAAAAATAGTTTTAAATTTTCTTTTTAATTTTAGTAATTAATGCAGCACCATGAAAAGCAGATGTTTCTCAACAAAAATAATTTTTGCAAACTTCCTGTCCGGTAAGTTTTTTTTAATATTCATTTCAGTTTTCTTAATAACTTCGTAATTACTCCAGTGCAGTGATCTGTATTCATATAAAGATGATTTTGTGTTACGTTGTAACGATTGAAATCAATATCTAATTAATAGATAAATAAAGTAAATATTTCGTTACTGACAACTCATCGTAATTTGAATGTTCCCGCGGTATAAATTTCGTAAAGTTGTAGATGGCGCTTGCAGCCAACGTCCGAGCAGACGACAAACGCATATTTCTTGTCTGCTGGCAAAAAGACGCTCAGAGCGAAGCGATTCATTGCATCTACTGGTTCTAACTGTAACATTATTATATCTGTAGGATAGTTATATTTTTATAATTAACATTATTGTATTATTTGAATTTGAATTGTGTTGGCGCTCGACTTATTTCAACGCATGCGCATAGCTGATCATAGATCTCACACACGAACACTATCTATGTATAACCTCAGTTTTTGGCCGACAGCCATCATGTAACGACTCTTTTTATTCTTAATATATATCGTTCATTTTCAATATAATAAATTATTCTTTATTTTATTTCCTTATTCCCTACATATCCCTTGGAATAATTGTAATAGAATCAGCGATTATAATTTAACATTTCTAATAAAATTATTCTATCATTTTATATGAATTGTTTTATTAATATTGTAAACAAATTGAACGAGAAAATTATTGGATTATCGCAAAATAACTAATCTAACCTTTTTAACTGATGATGATTTTGGATGATGTGTTTCGTTTAGATTCTGATTGGAATTTAATCCAAGACTGGAATTGTTTTGGGAAAGGAGAAGCCGATCATAAGTTCGCTGACTAAAAAGAGCGCAAGCTGTTTCAAAAAAAATTTGAAGGTTAGGTAAATACCAACCGTGTCACAGGCAACGGAGGATTCAGAGTATTCTGATCAGCCTTCGAGGAAGCAAAGAAGAAGTCTCTCGCAAGGACAAGAAATAAGCCAGAAAGATTGGCAAGGGTCACCAAAGCGAGATCCCAGGGATCTTCACCTACGAAGTTTAAAACCAGATGACAGTTTCCTAGTGTGAGGATTAGTCGTGGTTTTTAGTGGGTCGCTAAAAACAAGAACGGTAATCCCCACATAACCTCAAAGCAAAGGCTCTAGGTAATGGATACCAAGGGTTATGCAGATTTTCCATT